TTCTGGGAAGACGCCGAAGTTCTCCAAGCCTGTTGGGTGTGAGCTGACAGCACTGCTAGAGAGTAAGAAGTGTTGTGGATGAGGAGCTCAGCACTCCAGGAGACTTCAGCGTCTCTTGCAGTAGATGAGCTTGATGCGGTTGTAGAGTGGAGGCGGCCGGTAAGGCTAAGCCAGCTCTGTGTGGAAGGTTGCTTTGTGCAATCCTGGCTCAGCTTCTCTTTGAGGTGCCAAAGCTTCCCAACTGGCTGTGGCACGTATGTTGTGTGCCCAGAGACCTTGGCTTGGTTTGATGCTGTGTCTGTTTTGGGAACATTAAAAAATGTTGTTTGGAGGAGAGGAGTCTGTTCTGGGAACCATTTGATTAAATAACCCTAGGCTTCCTCTGCCCTCAGTTAGCACAGTAGTGATCAGGCCTCTCTGAGTATCCCTGTGGATTTTAGGTGTGCGGCTCACCCTAAACCCCGATGCTACAGGACTTGCATCCGTAGCAAGGTAAGGAAGTGGGCGCTCCGGTCGCAAGCAGCTCCTTCTGGATGTGGATTTATATCTCCACCGGTTGCAAAAGTGTGAGGCGCTCCTCTGCCTTCAACGATTGGCAGTGCCTGGCTGGTGGTTGGTACAGTACCACGACGGGCTCCCTTTCTAGCTTAGCAGAAGCAGGGAACTGCTGAAGCCACGTGAATGATAGCTGCTGTGGCCGCTGGGTTTGGCCCTACTGTGTCCAGTGGCAACTCTGAACATAGGGGTGTGGCTTCAGTATTTTTTTTTTTCCCCCCCCTCTTTACTTTCTTTTTTGCTAACCCTTTCCCACCACTTCAGAAGACTCAAAACCATTTTTCCAGAAGCTGGCAGGGCTCAAAGCCAGTATTTTGATTATATAAATAGGCAGGCGGCTTTTCCTTGTGCCTTGCTTCAGTATAGCACCGGCTTGTTTTCCTGGAAATCCTCGAAAAAAGCCACTTTCAGTATTGGCGTAGCTATGTCATGGAAGGCAAATACAAAGCCAAAGCGGCCTCTGAGCTACAGAGTATGGCAAGACCTCAAATAGCAAAATCCCATGTAGCAGCAAGTATTCAGGCAAACGTGTTCCCGACTTACCTTTTGAGAGAAAAAAAAAAAAAAAAAGGCAATAGTTGCTGCCTTTGTTGTGTTCCTGACTTACCTTTTGAGAGAAAAAAAAAAAAAGGCAATAGTTGCTGCCTTTGTGTCACATCGTCCCCTCCTCGCCTGCCTTCCATGCCCTGTAAAAGTTAATTCATTACTGTTTGTAAAGGACTGCGTTTCTCTGCTGCCAAATGCCACCGAGGTACCCTGTGCTTCGGTTGGATCTGCTTGTTTGCTTTCCTTGTTGGCAGCGTGCTGTGACATGGACTTCTTCAGGGCAGTAGTAATAATAATTTAAAAAAAACAAACAAACCCACAAAGTAAGCAACCCTCCAACCACACAAAATGCAAAGCAACAAAATGTAGAACCTTACCGACACTGGCTACAAGGAAAACCAGGTTTCCAGTAGGTCACTGGCCTGTGCAAGGGGTTTTGTTTTTTTTCCCCTCGTGTCATGGGTTTTCTGAGTCTGAACTGTCGCATGAAAATGCTTTTTGTGTTCTGGTACACTTTTCTGGGTTCTGGTAGTTTGGTACAATGCTTGAAATAAATTGGGCTGCCAGATCGGCTTTGCAGGAGCTGAGGAGGATCCCTCCCTCTCCAAACAGGCAATTAAGTACTGAAACTTTCTGTACATTTTCTTCCTGCCCCTCCTCATTCTTTTAAAATCGTAACTGCAAGGAAAGCCTCAGTTTGCTGAAGTGCGGGGTGAATGAATGCAGTGACCGACGTGGTGCTGAACTCCTGAGATGCTTCTGCAAGGAAACCGCCTCCGAAGGCGGGCTCGGGGAAGGCAGCCAGCTCCCATTCCCATGGGAGCTGGCGTGTGGGTGGAGAAGAGGCTTGCTGCAGCCACTTCACCTTGCTCACAGGGCAGCAGGGGGTCTGCCCTGCTGTGGAAAGTCCCAAAAAACTGAATTTCTGGTGGGAGGCAGCATGCTTCCTCAGCATTTTGCTTTGCTCCTACTTGCTCCTCAGGGCTGCTCTGGATGCTCATCTGCTTGCAGCTACCCTCCTCCTCACACACCGTGTTGCACAAGCCCATGCGCAATCCCTTTCTGCTGGGCTTGTGACAGCCGGGCCTGTTTGGGGGGGGGGGAAAAAAAACTTTGCAGCTCCCATGTGGGGCAGGGCTGGCTGTCCTGTGCTGTGCAGGGTGAGGCTTCCCCTTGTTGTGGGTGAAGAGGTTGAGCAACGCAGCCCAGAAGGCTCTGATTCAACCTTCTCCTCGCTCTTGCCAATTACTGTGGCCCTTCTAATTTTCTTGTCCACAGCATCTTCTCTTTAATTCTTTTTTTTTGTTTGTTTAAAAGAGAATTTGAAGAGTTGCAGTCCAGCTGTCTTCCTAACCTGCCATGCTTAGAACAGACTACATGGGAGACAGAAATGGGCTGGTAGAAATTTAGGAAGCTGTTGTTTAACTGCGATTCTCTCCCTGGAGAGCAGACCCTCTGTGTGATTGGGGTACCTCATACGCGGGACTGAGCCTGTACTGCATTTGCATCGGGGGAAAAAAAAATAGCTGGGCTTTAATTTTCAAGGCAATGATGGTCGCTTATTGCAGCCTAAAAGCTTTGTGTTTGGATTTTGGGTGTGTGTGCCAGTGAATTGGTGGAGTAGGTTATTTAGTGAGGGCATGGAAGGGCTAGTGGGTGGGAAAAGCTGGCATCCTGATGATAACTTTCTCTGTGGGGTCCAGGGAAAATATGTACGTATTAAAATAAATTATTCCCTCCTGTGATGCATTGTGCTTTGTCCTAACAGAGCTAGTTGGTCAAGGGAGCACCTCCCAGGCGCTTCCCGTTGCTGGGGTGGAAGTCCCTACACTGCCTGAAATGAGTGCAGTGTATTGGCAGAGTAGAACTCTCTTCATCTTTATCTTCTTGTTTTTAGCTGATCCTAGTTTTCAAAATGTTGCATTTTGAGATGAAACTCTATGGAGTTTTACCTTCCCAGGAAGCAGACATGGAAAAATTCGGTCATGTTTGAATGCAGTCAGAAGGGGGAATACGTGCTGCTGCCGCATGACTTCTTTTACGAAATCTTCTTTTTAAGCTGCAGAAATCAAAAGTTTGGCAGGGAGAAGTAAACCGGCTTTCACTTGTTCTGTGTCAGCGGCTACATGTGTGTGGCAGTAGGTCAGTCTGTACTACTTCATTAAAGGAAGATTATTTCCTTGATTAAACAGTGGCTTTTTATTCTGTATTGGTAGCTGCGTGCTTAAATGTGAGTTGCTTTTAACAAACCTGGTAGGAGGAAATACGAAGAACCAGCACCTGGAAAGTAAAACTTCCTTAAGATGCTCTAGCTGGATGCGAAAGACCGCACCAAACAGCCCCAAAGATGGAATTTGCTTCAAAAGCAAAATTCATCATCTTAAAGGTACACAACACAGGTAATGAAATATATGGTGCTGCACCATGGTACTGACTGATGAAGGTACACAGTGAACAAGTCCTGGTTTGTTCTTCTTATAATCTCGTGAATGGGCTTGCATCTATGCTTAATTCACTGATCAGTGGGAGGGGGGGCAGCTGGAGAGTGAGGACTGCAGAGAGTGTGTAAGTTACTGGGGCGTGATGCAAAAGTTTAATATTAGCACAAGACACAGGAAAACTTAAATTACTCCTCTGGGCACGTGTGTTGAATTGGTGGTAGTGCTGAGAATTGAATTTAGGTCTTAATTTGTTCATGTCTTGTTTTCCCACGTTACCATCCTTGTAATGACTTCTTCCTATGTTGTAACATGTGTGAGAATACTTGGTCGCTTTCCTTAGGAGAGGCTTAGTTGGTAAGTGCGAACTTTACAATTAACTGCCAACAAATATGTTGGCAGTTCCCTTATAATTTTTGTGGGTTCAAAATGAAATCTAAGCGTGGGTTCTTGGCAAACTCCAGCTGGCTGAATCGGTGATCTTGGGGATTCGCTGGGAATACTGTTGCCAGCCGGACGCCACGCTGGGGCATGCAGCCAGAGCAATGGGGAGAGAGCCATGCCCTAGATCCTGCGTGTTTTGCTGGCATGTTTTTTTTTTTTTTTTAAGCACCATAGCTCTGTTTTCTTTTGAAATACCGTCCTATTTGTTAGCAGCAGTGCCTACAGACATCTCTGTCTCTCTCTCTGTTGTTGAAATGATTGCAAAGGGAGATACCTCTGGGTTGAGCCTTTCCTGCTTGCTGGCGCCTGTGCTGTTTTGCTCCTGTGCATCTTCATTTTATGTAGTGGCATCCCTTTGGCGGGGGGGGGTGGGTGGTGGTGGTGGGTGGTGTGTCACTGCGCCTTACTCTGTCCCTTGCCTGGGATTTAACAAACGATACTGAGGTAATCCCCTCTCCGGCAGCCCTACTCCTCAGGCAGCGATTTTATCTTGCTGTGAAAGCTGAAGAGATTTTGGGCTCTTGTCAGTGCTCCCGATGGAAGAGATCTGAGGAGCTGCGAGGTGCGGCTGAAAATGACTCAAAGGGAAAAGTATCCGTCCGGAGCTGGTCCCTCCATTGAGGCCGGCCAGCTACTGCAAAACCAGCCCGGTGCTCGGATCTTCAGCCTGGGCAAGGTCTCTGCATCGCAGCTGGCCCCCGCTGCTGAGACAGGCTGAGCTCTTGTTCCGTGTTTTTCCTGTACTGCAGGTGGTCCAGTGCTTCACTTTACGTCCTGCCCTTCTGCAGGGATTTCCTGTCATCCTTCTGTGGAGGATCTTGCATCTCGAGTGAAATTTCAGGTCCTAGAGAGAGCAATTAATATTCTGCATATTGCACAATTCTGTGGGCGTGACAACCCTGTTCCAAATAACATAGCATTTTATTATTATTACTATTTTTTATTTTAAGGAAACAAAATAACTTGTTGCATTTTGGGGGGGGTTGTCTTACGGGTTTTTTTTTTTCCTTTCCATAGCATTCAGCGAGCTGCACTGGTGGTTCTGGAAAATTACTACAAAGACTTCACGGTCTACAACCCAGCCTTGTTAACAGCCTCCAAATCCCGTGCAGCCAAGCACATGGCTGGCCTGAAAGTCTACAATGTTGATGGTAGGTGGGGTGAAATGGAGTTTCTGAGATTGGGTGGGATGGGGAGGGGCTGGGTTGGCTTTATGCTTTGTTATGCACACATTCTCACCTTTTTGCTTTGCCAAATCCTTGTCTCTTTCTGGAAATCTTCCTAACAGTGCTGAGTTTGCCGGTTCCAGATGACTTTATAGATGCGTTTAGCCCACAATAAGGCTTTTGTCTTTGCCAGGTGAAACGGCCAAGTTTTGGGTCAGGCGTAATTATTACGGAGCTTGAAGAGTGCTTGTCGGCACCACTGCTTGTTTTAGGCAGCCTCTGCTTTTTGTCACCCTTGGGTCATCTCCTTGGTTGTGCTAGTACAATAAACACAGGTTTTTTTAACCTAAATTAGTTCCTCAGTCGGTTTACTGTGGCACTTCCACAGGCAGCCTTCAGGAAAGTGAAGGAGGTTGATACCAAGGTGGGAAGCAGCAGCAGCCTTAGGAGTAAATTAGCTGTGCCTGGCTTATGCATGGCCATGCTCCCAAGTCATCGCAATTCTAAGCAGTTCATGGAAATTCAGAGACAGATAACTATCCCTCTTTGCCATTCTTACAAACCCATTTCAAACTTTTGGGCTTTAAAGAGGCCTGTGGGAGGATGGATGGGTGGATCCCCGTGGATGCTGAAAGCAGTGAAAACTGGACTTAATCATTTGACACTCTTAAACCCTGTCAGTGAAAGCTGGGCTTGATAAGCAGGCTGTGCCCAGCCATCACAGCCTTTATAAATGCGCGCATTCCTTTGATGGAAGAGCTGAAGTTGTGTAGGGAAGCTTTTACAGTGAAGGACGGATGAAGTCCTGTGACAAGGTATGTGGTAAGGCACATCCTGCCCCTGAATTCATTAGTATTGCAAAGGCTTTGAGAGCTGGAAGGGAGAAGAGACTTAGCTGGGCAAGGTGGCTCTGCATGCAGGGTGTGGAGACCAAAACAGGAAGAATATCTGTCACATGGGAGACCATGAGGCAGGATTGTTTTACCTTCAACTTCAGTGCTTCAGTGCCTGATGAGTTTGGGGTGGGTTTTGGGTTTGGGGTTTTTTTCGTGGTTTTGGTGACTTTAGAAGTTTCAAAGACCTTATTCTAAATGTTTCCCCAAACCTGATGCAGCACTCCCGAGTCCACAAAATTAATTGGAGGCTTAGATCCTTACAGTGAGATGTCCCCGTCCTGACAGAGGAAGAGTAGAGGGAAGGGGGGAGAGGGGCAGGCGTGCTCATCCTGTGTCCCCTGCTGCCTGGAGTGAAGAAGCTCTTGGGTGGGAGAGGGTGAGTTGAGTTGGAGAGGTGGAAGCAAACAGACCTGCTTTGCACTTTCTCTGGAGGTGAAATCTTTCATTGCAGCTGCTCGCCCTCAATGAGGCCTGGTGTGTGGAAAGTGAGGGCTTCCCCATTCCATGGGTCTTCAAACCGAATGCTCCGCCAGGCTGGCTGAGGGACATGTCATTCTGGTTACCAGTGGGCTTCCCTTCTCCTGCGCTGCAGCACCTCTTCAGGAGGTGGCAGGGTGTCCTGCAGGTCCTGCAGCACCTTCTGGTGGGTGCTGGGGCTCCCAAGCTCGGAGGAAAAACTGCTGGTCTGGTAGTGTTAGTAGTTTAGGAATTGCAAGCTCGCAAAACTTTTGTTGGAAGAGAAGGAACCAGAAGCAAGCTCCAGATGTGGCTGGCGGGCCTTTCCAAGTGTCAAGCTCGTGAGCCTGCCAAGGCCTGAAAACTTCTGGGGCAGTACCGGTTCCCTGGGCTGTTCCTTGTGCAATGCCACCGCCTTTGCGGACGTGGAGAGGCTCAGGCTTAGAGGCACATCCTTAAGAAGATTCTCATCCATTTTACGAAGCAGAGTGTTGTTCTGGCTGCAGCTTACCGTGGCATCCTGACAGTCCCTTACACCCTCGATGTGAAAAGACAGTAATGCTATTAAGGCAGCCTAATTTGTTGGCAGCTTTTGTATTTGATACTGGAGCAGCCAGGAAGGAAAAACATCTTGCTGTAATCTCTCTTGTACAGAGCAGGGAGGCTCACCTTCAAAAACAGGATTTTCATCGCCAGGCATAGTTAATACGGCAAATCACAGTTCTAACCCAAATTTGGGAGCTAGTGTCTCCCTTGAGTCATATCCTCCATTTCAGGGCTGTCAAACAAAGTCTGAAGTGTTTAGACTCTTAAGAAGCTGTCTGTGTGCATGCCCATCCTTCCCACTGCTGAGCTTGAGGCTTCTGTCTTGGAATCTGGTTTGTGCTTTTCAGGAAAAAATTAAAAAGCTGCCCTTGCATGAGCAGAACAATTTTAAGCGTGTCTGTGCAATTGATTGGCCTTAACCACTGCCAGTGGAAAGTGTGGGCTTTCGGAGCAGTTAGTCAGAAAAGCAGCTCTTGGTGGTTTGGAGGCTGTCCACGGTTTTGCCTTTTTCCCGTCTGGGTAGACCCACCTCTGTCCTCTATCTAGATTAAAGGGTTGGTAGACTTTTTTGGGGTAACAATTCCGCCCCCCCACCCAAACAGCCAGCGCTGTGAGCTTCATGGGGGAACTGCAGAACCTACTACTGCATTTTAAGGTCACTAGCTGAGGTCCTGCAGTAGACAGCTCTGTCACTTGTCTGGGTGTGAGAACAGACTGCAGCTTCCCTGCTCCCGGAGCTGTGTCAGATCTGTTAACAGAAGCACTAATGGCAGGTGCTGCTCTGGGAGCCTTGAGGAGCTACTCTTGCACATGGACCACAGCCTCCCCTACTGCAGGACTTGCTGCTCTGACAGCATCTGCCCTTCTGGAAAACCCTATGCTTTGTCTAGAGGTGACCCTGCTGCCTCTGCAGCCTGTTTATCTTCCCTGCATGTAACTGCCTGGAGTTTGGCTTTCGTTCATTCATCTCCATGTCTCTTGATGTTCTTGTTTCTTTCTCCTCTTTGCAACTCCCCACTTCTTGGTGCTCTCACACTGTCATGTTGCTGAAATGTGGTGTGTCCCAGCTGCCCTTGCCTTCAAACTGAAAACGTATATAATGGGTGGTAAGTTGCATCCTTGGCATGTGCACCTCACCTCTGCCTTTCTGTACATCGCGTGAGATCCTTCATCCCAACTAACTTCCCTTGTCCACAAGCCAAAGCCCCCTCCACAAACCTGTGCTGTCTGGCGGGGTTTCTGTCAGAGCCCCTGAGGACCTGGGAAGGGTTTATAGCCTCGGCTGCGAAGGCTGGAGCTACAGAGCACTTGTGACAGATGCCCTGGGGTGCTGGTCTGTCCCAGCCCCAGTCCTGTGGCAGTAACGCCACCTTTCTTCTTTCCTTTTTGCTCGCCCTCACCTCCCGAAGGCCCGGGTAACAACGCCTCGGGTCAGTCCCGTGCCATGATTGCAGCCGCCGCCCGCCGCAGGGACTCCAGTCACAACGAGCTCTACTACGAAGAGGCTGACCACGAGCGCAGAGTGAAAAAGCGCCGTGCAAGGTAAAGCTGTCCCCTTCCCGGGTGCTGCTTCTCGACGCTGCGAGGCTTGGTTGCGTGGGGCTTGCCGAGCCTGACGAGATGGGGGGGACCTGCGATTAAGGGGCTGGGGGTTAGCTGTAAATCTGTCACAGCAAAGAAGCGTATGAAACCTAGATGCACAAGGGACGGTGACAGCTTGCAACTGGAATTATCTGAAGAACATGCATAAAGCAGAGCTCATGTTTATTATGCCGGATAAGCTAATGCAATGTCACGGATTAGGGAACAGTCCAGTGTGTGACAAATCTGTAGTTACTTGCTGTAGGAAATCCCATTATTTCCCCCATGCCCAGGCTTGTCGTCTCGGCTCAAGTAATCCAGGGAGAGGATGGGCAGAGCACTTGGTGTTGCCTGTCCACAGGCGAGGAGAATATTTGTGTTTGCAAATGCCAAAAAGGGGCGGTTTGCCCTTTTCAAGGAGTTGGGGAGGAAAGACTTGACCAGAACGGGTTGCATTTTATTTTGGAACATAGGTATGTCTTCTGCCAGTCACACTTAGGCTTCAGAGTTGATGCTTTGTTGAGGTGACCCGAGATAGTCCCTCTATTTGCTCCGGAGCCTAGTTACAGCTTGTGCTTAATATACGTAACAGTTTGAAGCGAGTTGCTTATGGACGGGCACCCCTGTACTGAGCTGTGTTTGGAAGGAATGTGTCGTAACTGGAGGGAGCTGGCTTGTTTTGTTTTTTCTTTTTGCAGTTTATATTTCATTGGGAAAGTGCTGGCACAGTGTCTGCTGTCCCCCACCCCCCCAGCCTGCTTCAGTCTGACCTGTGCTCCATAGCCTCTGTCTTTTGGGCTCCCTCCCAGCCTCGGAGCAATAGGAACTTAAACTTTCCTTTCCGTGCAGCGTAGCATCCTAACTCAGGCACATCTCCCTTGCTTGCTGAGTTTGGTTAGAACAGCTGCTTAGTCAGAGGAAAACCATCAGTCACTAGAAGATCAGGCCAGATGTTTCAGAGGAGGAAGGTCAGAGCTGCAACAAAAAGACATGAGGAGATTAGAAACTGATTTCCAGCTCCCCCAGAGTCCAATTAAACAAAACGGGCAGGGGTCAGGGCTTCACGTGCTGTTCCTCTTGTGTAGTCTGAATGCAGTATGCTATCCCTCTGCTTGTCACGAGCAGCCTCCTCTGGCTTTAAGGTGCTTTGGGTATGGAGGGCAGCGTGGAGAGTAGCTGGTGACTCGAGTGGAAATCTAGTGTGAAACAAGCCCTGTCTGGAGGGGCGAAAGACTTTTGTTGGGTGACTCTTCCATTATCATTGCTTTTTTTCCTCGCTGACTGCAGCGTAGCCCCTCACTTGTTACTTAGTACGGGGCTAACTTGCAAGTGTCGTACAGCATCTGTTTGCCTTCTTATGGTGTGGTCTTGGTGTTTGCTCACCTGTGCCAACACAGGAACGGTTTGCAGAGGATGTCTCTAGCTGCAGCGTTAGGCGTGAAGCCGGGAGCCCCGTCCCTTTTCAGTGGAGGGGTGCAGGGCAGTCATTCGGTGGCAGAAGTTTCTGTACCCAGTTGATGTAAATGTTTGTGAGCACAGAGAGGCGCAGAGCAGCCTGTGTCCTGGGTCATGCTAGTTTATGGCCAGCCCCTTCCTGACTGCTTGCCCGCCCTTAGGCTTCACACCATGGTACTGTATGCTGGAACAGTTGTTCTTAAAGACACGCATTAAACGCAGGGGCAGCTGTGTCTTGTTTGAGTCATGGAGTTGATGTTTATGCTGTGTTGGCAGAACAGAGTACAATGCTCAGGCTTTTAAAGTCTTAATCCTGGTTTATGACCCTCAGTTGCTGGATGTCTTGGGTGAGGAAAGAAAAGCTGCTGTCTACCCTTCAGACTGTCAGTAGAGAAGATTTTATGTAAATTGCATGATGGCAGGCAGTGAGTTAGTGGCAGAGATGGGAATAGGAGCTTGTAAATCCTGACTCCCAGGCTTAACCACAGACCCACCTTGCCTCTCTTGTTGTGACTCTTACTGTCCTGATTTTCCTTCTGCAGGCTTGTGGTTGCAGTAGAGGAGGCTTTCACTCACATCAAACGCCTCCAGGCAGAGGAACAGCAGAAAGCTCCAGGAGAGATGATGGACCCCCGAGAAGCAGCCCAGGCAATCTTCCCCTCCATGGCAAGAGCTCTGCAGAAGTACCTTCGCACCACCCGCCAGCAACAGTACCACAGCATGGAGAGCATCTTGCAACACTTGTCCTTCTGCATCACCAATAACATGACACCAAAGGTAATGCTTTTTCTAACGTTGGTGCAGGAAGGAGGGAGAAGGGGATGGCACACCTGTGTGTGCATGCAGAACAGAAAATTGTCAGGGGAGGCGAGTGGAGATTTTCATAGTTGCAGTCTGTGATACGATCAGTGCGTTGTAGGTTGCATCAGGTCTTAAAGGGAAGTAATGTTTCCTCTGCAGCATCATGCATCTCTCTTTATCTGAAAGTACCTATGAGATAATTGTTCTCCTATCCAGTTCAGCAAAGGGAATACCAAAGAAGTGTCCCAGACAGTGGGCCTTGAGCAGTGAGTCACAGGGTATTCTCCCAACTGGCTCATGGTAGCAGCATGATGCAAGTGACAACCTGCAAAGGATTTTTTTTTTTTGGTGCCCTCTGCAGTGCTGCATTTTGGACTGCTAATTATCGTCTAAATCCTTGTTTGTCTGACTGTTTCTAATTCGTGGGCTGCTTGGTCAAATGCCAGTTTGCCGCTTTGTGCCCTGACTGCGGCTGTTGACTTGGAGACACAGGGAGGGACTGAATGATGAGGCAAACGGGTCTCACGAGCCTCCTCCTGCTCTCCACCTTCCCCTCTAAAAACGCCCTACAATCCTAGAGAAGGGTTAGAAATGTGAGGATTTACTCCTGGGCATTTACCCAGGACTTACTACGCGAAGAGCAGAAACGCTGTCAAGAGATGGGGCTTGGCACCCTCCCACTGGGGTCCACCCGGGACCTTGCTGAGATGTGCAAGGGGGAATTCTGCTGCCACTGAGATTGCAAAGGAGACTTCAAAACACAAGCATGTTCCCTGTTCTGTTTTCAGTTTTGCAGCCCCAGTCAAGCTGCAAATGTGGAAACCTCTGCTTTCTACCTTAGCTTGGCCTGAAGAAGGCAGGGGGGCAGCTATCCCATCTGCCTGTCTGGGACTGCAGTTTTGGGATGGCTTATGGGGCTGATAGGGGAGAAATGACCTCTACCTGCTGCCGGACAGCAGTGCTGACAGCCGAGGTCGGGGCTGTAACTCTGCAGGCTTGCTGGGATGGACTGAAAGAAGATCTCTGGTGGTTGTGTCTGCTCCTGGGGTCTGAAAAGGTGGGAGGGACCGGGAGGAGGATGCTTCCTGAAGCACAGAAGCTGAAACCACTTGCAGCGTGGCAAGCCCGTGCTCGTGGAGCTGTAGCTGGGGACGGGAAGAGAGCATCAATGCGGAGCAAGCTGTGGGGCCGGCGCTAA